TAACTTTCCTTCCGCCCTCCCCTTAACGTCTCTGACACTTGTGCATAAATAGTTTAGCACTCCTGATCAAATGATAGTCTAATTATGGTGTGGTGTGCCCGCTCTTGAATATCAGTGCGCTATGCGAAGTGCTGATGGTGTTAATGGGAAACAGCGTGATGTGTGTAACATCTGCTTAAGGAACAGCAGGGATTTTTTTTACAAGGTCCCGTTTACAGAGTAGCAAGTTGCGGCTTCCCTCCTGGCTCTCCTCGACACTTTCGACTCGCCAAGAATGAAAATCTTGGCATTATTTACATGTCGTTCCAAAGCTGTGTGACTGACGTCTGGGGAACCCAAAAGGTGAATTTTTGAAGAATATCCTGGTTGCTCTTTTTGGTATTTTAAACTTAAAACATATGGCAGACAGTTTTATCCAAAGCAATTTCCATTGCACTCAAGGTATACATTTTTATTAGTTTATACACTCCAGGGGAATCAAACCCACAACCTTGGCATTGCTAGTGCCATGCTCTACTGTTTGAGCTACAGGAATTCGCAATATAATGGAAGTGAATGAGAACTGGACCTGTCATTTATAAGTGTCATAAATGTGGTCCATATGAGTCTATATTCCTTCTACAGTATATACACAGTATATGCACTATATTAGTAATATGATAACTTTGTGTGGAGAACAGACCAAAAATTGGTTGTCTTCCAGTCCAGTGGACTTTTAACCATTATAACCAGATCATTGAAATAGATGTGAAGTTCATTCAGTCTGATTTGTGAACAAATTATTTAGTCCAGTTTTGCAAAACTGATTCATTGAAACAATTTGACAGTTTTAGTCCTTTCCTCACACAAAACTATTGTATCCTTTTTTAATGTGTAGAAAGTCTTACGATTTTAGAACAGTATGAGGATGAGTAAATGATGACAGATTTTAATTTTAGACTGGAATATTCCTTTAAATCACAGATTGAGCTCTGGACTTTCTCTCCTTTTATCCTACGCTTTGCACGTAGGGGGTGTTTCTGTGTAGTGTGGCATTATGGTCAGAGGAGAGAAAGTGGTGGGAGAGTGTGTTTCGCTTTGTTTTAGCATGTGCAGTTGTCCCGTGTCAGAGTGTGTTTTCGACAGGCCTGTGGGTGATGGGATCTCTCTGCCTACATAACTCCTGCTTTGGCTTGGAGAAAGAGATGTGTGTGCGCGTATGAAGTGTGTCACGAAGTGTTTCCTCCTGTAAGTAGGGAAAATCACAAATTAGTTGTCTCTAATATCTCAGTTGTTTCTTCTAGACTACAGTAGGATAAAATGGAAAGCATATCTTAAAGGAATAATTCACCCAAATATGAAAATTATGTCATAATTTACTCACCTTCCTGTAAGCCTTTCTTTCTACTGCAGAACAGAAGGTATTTTGGGGAAGAAAAAAAAACACGTTTTGTCTGTAAAATAAAGTCAGTTAGGTCTAATGTTGTTTTGAACTATACTGACTTTCATTGTATGAAGAAAATTTTTTTTTCAATATATATTTTGTGTTCTGCAGAAAAAAGAAAATCATACAGGTTTGGAATGATATAATGGTGGGTAAATGAGGACAGAATTTTGGTACCTTGAAAAATGTGAGCACACCTGAATCTAGCCAAGCCTTTTTTGAAGATGAATTCCTTCAAGTCAAGATATGAATGCAAACACTTCTCATTAAATCTTCTAGGGTTAGGGTTCAAATCTTCTATACTCGTATCTCAAATATTGGTTATTGCTTGAAACCTCTGACAGTGTTGTTACTGTTAACTAAAACAATTTTTTTTCCGTTAATTGAATTAAAGCTGAAATAAAATAAATTATTAATATTAAGTGACAAACTTAAAAATCATAAATTAACTGGTTACTGAAAAGTGCAAAAAGTACTAAAAAAATTAGTAAAATATAAAGCTAAGTAGAATAAAAAAATTTTATAAAATAAAAACTGAAACTAATAAAAAAAAATTAAAAAAAAGATACACATACTCACCTTATTAAAACAAACTAAAATTAAAATGAACACAGAAAAGCTAATTCAAAATATGAATAAATTCTATAATAGTATATAAATAATACCAAAATAACACTGACCAATATAATAACTAATAAAAAAAAATTTAAAAAAAAGATACACATACTCACCTTATTAAAACAAACTAAAATTAAAATGAACACAGAAAAGCTAATTCAAAATATGAATAAATTCTATAATAGTATATAAATAATACCAAAATAACACTGACCTCTGAACAATATAATTTTCCAGTGGGCTGTACAGAATAAAAACACACCCTCTGGTTATACAAAACCCAGACAAATAAAGCTATCATCACCTGAAGTTTTAACAAATAGTATCCCCATCAAATCCACACAGCTGTTTAGATGAATGTATTTTTCATGAAACATTTCTCATTATCTGTGTTTCCGTGCATCACATGACCCAAGCCTGTTGTGTGTTTTCATTCTTTTAATCTGTCATTGTTTATTGATAGCAAGCGCTAATTCAGCCGGCTTTTTGGTCTCTTGGGCACGGCATGCAAAGTGGCGGTTTAGCGTTGATTTGGTGCGCAGGGTGGAGAGACGTCTCCACGCGTAAGTGGATAAGCTGGGTGCTGGGAGGTGGATGAATTGGTCCTGATCAAATAAGAAAGCTCTTCCTGAGATAAAGGTCTGATGTGTGTTGTGTACGGAACGCATTTGTCCGTGGGTGTGCTTGTTCATTTGTTGTCGGTCCGGTACATGCTAACACTCTAATTTAATTATCCCAGCTGTACGAGTGAACTTGTGTCTGAAGCCGAGCGTGTGCTTCGTTAATGGTTTACAAACAGAGGGCACGACTGATGCGAGATGTAGCGTGTGTATATGTGGAGCTCATATAAAGACCAAAAGTATGTGGAAACCCCCTTATAGTGAGCATGTTTGATGCATAAAGCCATGCATACAAGCATGTCTGACCTCTTGTGTCTTAATGAGAGCAAATCCCATGATGCAGTGTAGTGTTGTTTTTGGCGGCCTGTTTTAATTTTAGTTTTAGTCTAGTCTTTGTGTGAAGCTGTCATTTTAGTTTTTATTAGTTTTAGTCACGTTCATACTCTTTTTAGTCTAGTCAAGTGTTAGAATGAGCCGTTTTAGGGGGGCGTGGCAGAGTCTTAACTTTGATAAAGAATATCTCTTTGGTTTTGAGACTTTAGTCTTTGCAACTTCAGGGATCTTATCTATGCACAATCAGCTTGTAACACTCCAAAGAGAAAGGAAAACTTGAAATCGCATCATATGACCCCTTTAACTATGTTTGTTGTCGTCTTCTAAATAATGCAGCGAGTGGGGCTTGAGGAAGTGATGTCGCCTGCGTCTGCGCAGTGCGACCTGATGCAGCCCCTGAAGTGAGAAATACTGCAAAATAATAATAATAATAATAACGCGACTAAACGAGACGAAATAACGTTATAACATTTCGTTTCGTCTCGTTTTGGTCAACGAAAATGAAGAGACATTTTAGCATAGTTTTTATTTTGTAAACCACATTTAGTCTCGTTTTTATTCGTCAACAATATTGCATTATACATTTAATTATAGTCATCGTCACATGACCAGCATTTACGTTGCGTCTCGTCTCGTTTTCGTCACGTGATAAAGGTTCGTTGACGACGATATTTAGTCATAATTTTTGTTGACGAAAGCAACACTAATGCAGTGTCAGGATGAAATAGGGATGAAGCTGAAAAATTACTTCAAAACGACAATGAATTCTACTGAATAATAGTAAAAAAAAAATTGATTGTCCAACAAACACAAAAGTGAATACTTAAAGTGATATTTTCAGAACCATGTTTAAAATTATGACGGATTATTGAGTCTAAAGCCCATATGGCTAAACTGTAAATGTCTTAAATTAATCACAGTGTGATTTCAAGTTCAAATTGTATGGTGTCTTTTTATTACCAAAAATAACATTAAACAAAGATACTATGTTATTCATGTTTTTGGTATATATAAATATTAGTGCTGTCAAACGATTAATCGTGATTAATCGCATCCAAAATAAAAGTTTTTGTTTACATAATATATGTGTGTGTGCTGTGTATCTTTATTATGTATATATAAATACACACACATGCATTTAAGAAAAATATGTTATGTTCATATATTAAATACATTTATATATAATATAAATTATGTGAATATAAATATATACATGTAAATATTTTCTAAATATATACTGTATGTGTGTGTATTTATATATACATAATAAATATACACATAACACACACATACAGTATATTATGTAAACAAAAACTTATTTTGGATGCGATTAATCTGTGATTAATCATTTGACAGCACTAGTAAATATCTCTATATCTATAGTTAATATTTTAAATGTTGTAAGCGAGATTAACATGTTTCTGTAGTTTCTGCAGAGATGTTTTAGAATCTGTGTTTTAGTACAAATATTTTAAGTGGACATATTATGAATGAAAGAGGGAAAAAATGTTGAACCTGCTTTGTTGTAATATTTAGGGTGTCTAAATGCTCTTTTTGGAGTCTCTTTTTTTAATGAAGGATTTTAAGACTTGCCTTTTTTATGAATCGATGAAAATCGATATGAGTCAAATGATTCAATGATTTACTTGTGCATATTTGTGGCATAAAAATAGCTGTTACTGTAAACTGTCACAATCTCCTGGTTTAACTATGTAACCTGCATGAAGGGTCAGTGAACGAACCTGAAAGAATCTTTTTGGTGGGTTAAAAAAGCTAAGATGAATCAAAATCCCCACAACTCACATGAAGCATGTATTTTACATATATTTATAAATAATAAAGTTGGCAAAAATAGCTACTGTAGCAGCTAAAAGGGCACCAAATGTCCAGTATATTGAAATGAATTGCAGATATGGATGGGCTGTTCAGGTGTCCACATACTTTTGGTCATTTAGTGAATTATTCTAATTTGGCACTAACATTTTGCTGTGTTTCTCTGTTTTCAGGGTAATCAAGACGCCCCAGCACCCCCAGAAACCATGGCCCAGCCTTACCCATCGGCCCAGTTCGCTCCCCCTCAGAACGGCATTCCTGCTGAGTACACGCCGTCCCACCCTCACCCGACTCCAGACTACTCGGGCCAGACCCCCGTGGCAGAGCACACGCTGAACATGTACCCCCCTGCCCAGACGCACAGTGAGCCCAGCGGACCAGACAGCAGCATACAGGCGGTCTCCGGCACAGCCACAGTAAGCTCCCATCTCTCTCTCGCTCTGTATCTCTGACTCTTCTTGATGGCATTGCTCGTCACGGTTCAGGTTTTGTGGATTGTGCTGTGGATTGAGGTGCCCTCCGTGATCTGCCCTCCAAGGACATCAGTGCTGTAGCCCGCCTTAATATTTCATATGCTTCAGGGATTTCCATGAATAATTGACCATCTTTGTGTTATTTCACCAACTCTGAGTACAAAGTACTCTCCGTGAATTTAGTTTGGTGAGGTTTTCCCTCCTAGTTTTTAATATAATTTGAAGAGCGTTTTCTGTCCCAAAATGGTAAAAGTTGAACCCAGGGCCCAGCCTTACCCATCGGCCCAGTTCGCTCCCCCTCAGAACGGCATTCCTGCTGAGTACACGCCGTCCCACCCTCACCCGACTCCAGACTACTCGGGCCAGACCCCCGTGGCAGAGCACACGCTGAACATGTACCCCCCTGCCCAGACGCACAGTGAGCCCAGCGGACCAGACAGCAGCATACAGGCGGTCTCCGGCACAGCCACAGTAAGCTCCCATCTCTCTCTCGCTCTGTATCTCTGACTCTTCTTGATGGCATTGCTCGTCACGGTTCAGGTTTTGTGGATTGTGCTGTGGATTGAGGTGCCCTCCGTGATCTGCCCTCCAAGGACATCAGTGCTGTAGCCCGCCTTAATATTTCATATGCTTCAGGGATTTCCATGAATAATTGACCATCTTTGTGTTATTTCACCAACTCTGAGTACAAAGTACTCTCCGTGAATTTAGTTTGGTGAGGTTTTCCCTCCTAGTTTTTAATATAATTTGAAGAGCGTTTTCTGTCCCAAAATGGTAAAAGTTGCTGGAGAGTTTGGTTTATTAAAGAAATATTTCTCCCCAAAATCTAATGTTATTATTTTCTCACCTTCATGTCATGAGCTGTAAATTAGCAGTGAATAATGACTTACATTTTGGTCTGTTCCTCCACCAAAGTTATTATTTGGCTTCAGAAAATTGTCTGTTTGTTAAATTGGGGATTTGTGGACTCGGTGATCCATTTAGAATTGAGTTAGACTCTTAGGGTAAGATGCCGCAAGAGGGATGTAGTTATACTGGTGTGTGTGTGTGTGTGTGTGTGTGTGTGTGTGAGTTTTTATAATAATAGATTTCAAATTTCACTACTCATCATAACCTATAGGTCAGCTAAATGGAATCATTCATTGTGAATTGTTAGTTTATTGAAATTATGACAATGTCTTTATTTAAAAAAATAAATAAATAAATTATGGGCCCGTGTATAATTCATAGAATTATATAGTGTTCAGATGTATTTTTTGACTGTGATTCTGTTAGTTGAAATAAAAAAAATTAATTTACATAGGATATTTAATTTAATATTTTACATTAAAAGCATAAAAACATTAAAATAATATATATTTTTTATATATATATTCTGTAACAATAAGATGACAGCTGGGATGAGCCTGGGGGGTTTCTTACCCCATGGTAGAGGGGCAATATGGCCCATTTTCATGATTGTCATGACTTTGAATTGTGCAATATAAACTAAATTAGCTAATATTTGCTTTTATTTCACCTAATTTTATGTGAGACTTTTTCATCCCCACATGTGAACTACATTTATGATAGTTTGACGGAGCCTTTGTGCTTTTAGAGCTTAACAAAAGTGGTCACTTTGTCATACGGCACAAGCTGTGCAATGGTTCTTTAAAACTGTCGTCTTTTGTGCTGCATTGGGGAAAAAAATAGAATTCAGGTTTGGAACGACATGGGGTTGAGAAAATAGTAAAATAAGTTTAATTGAGAGGGAACCATTCATTAGAAAGTGCAAAAATGGACTAATTTTTAGGATAAACTCCTGATGTATTCCATAATTAGACTATTTGTTCAACAGACAGAATGTTTAAACCGTTTCACTGATTCGAAGGAAAATGTGAGCTTTCTTGCAAACAGCGGCCAGATTTTCATTGCCTATCATACCTTAGTGTTCAAATTTCTTTTTTAGTGCCAGAGCAGAAAGGAGCAAAACCACTTCTGGAAAAGCCATTATTTTCCCCCCTGCCTCTCTCCTTCTCCCTCTGTCTCCCACTCTCTCTATCTCTTTCCTTCACTTCCCGAGCCTAGTGTTATGGAGAGAAAGCCAAACTTTACAGACATCCAAAGCTATGACCTCATCTGGCTAGAGCTGTTTTTAGATCCAAATCATTCCTCACAACTGATCCTTCATCTGCAAACAAAAGAGGGCTAGACTGTGATACTTCCCCTGTTCCTATCTTTTCTTTGTTTGTTGGAGTAGCTGATAACAAATCAGTCCCCAGAGGGACGTTTTTATACAATAATAGATGGTTTTCAACGCTGTTTTGATAGAGTGCCGTGGATTCCCGCCAAATTCTCAGTGGCCAGTGTGTGTGAGAGCTTGTGGTGGATTTCTGAAATTCATATGGAACAGCATATACTTTCCACAAGCAACCTATAATATAGTATTTAAGTAGCACTTTACAATAAGTTTGTATTTGTTCACATTAGTTCACATTAGAAATGTTCATTACACTAATACAAATACATATACACAGTTCAAAAGTTTGGAGTCAGCTATTTAATACAACTTTTTAATATATAGGGCAGTTACATCTATAATCTCATCTTTTGCCACAATAACACAAGGAAATTTAATTATTAATAATAATAATACTATTACAATTCATGAAACTATGGATTTAACTTATCTCTGTACCTGTTTAAATTACCACATCCATACATTTATAGCCTATGTGTTTATTATATATTTTTTATTATTATTTTTTATTTTTTTGTATAAGTCATTACGTCAAGTTGTTGCTGTTAATCTATGTTTCGTCCAGCTCAATAAAAAAGAAAAAAAAAAGCTTGGAGTCAGTAGCAGTTTTATTTTTCATTTATTTTTTACATTTTTATTATTAATATTTTTATATTAAGCAGCACAAGCTTTTCAATATTTGGTAATAATAGGAACATTTCTTGAGCACTAAATTAGCATATTCACATGATCGTGTGACACTGAAGATTGCCGAAAATTCAGTATTTCCATCACACAAATAAATGACATATTAAAATTAATATATTCACATTGAAAACAGTTATTTTAGAATATAGTAATATTTCAGATAAAGGCCTTTTTAAAAACATTAAAAAGTCTTGCAGACCCCAAACTTTAAACAGTAGTGTATACTGAAACATTTTTAATATTTGAAGTTATATAAACTCACATTTGTTTAGAATTAACAATGAACAATGTTTTATTTATAAATTAACATTATCCTAAATGGATTAATGCTGGAAAGAAATGTTCCTTGTTAGTTCATCATACCTATTGAAGTAGCTAATGAATAAATTGAAACAAAATGTTACCATTGTGTCAGTACATTTATCTTAAAGGGGTCATATGATGCTTTTTTAAAGATCATTATTTTGTGTATTTGGTGTAACAGAATATGTTGACATGCTGTAATGTTCAAAAAAGCTTGTAACACTCCAAAGAGAAAGGAAAATTTGAAATCGCATCATATGCATGTATAGGATGCTACATGTGCATGTATAGGATGCTACATGCACTTTTACAAGTTGTTTGAACTGAAATGTGTGTTGGCAGTGTGTGTACACAACCACTCTACAATGATAAAAACCCACCCAGTGTTTTTTTTTTAATCGTGTTAAATGTTTTCCCCTTTCTCAAATCGAGCCGATCTCAGATGCCTGTCTGTGTGACATCACAAAAACAGGCCCCTCCCACGATAGTTTGACAGACTGGACTGGCGTCTTACCTTAGACCCGCCCTGAGTGAGCTGTCATCAGTCCGCCATTGTTTCACCGCCGGAGCAGATGTAGACAAGAATGACTCCTAAGCGACTGAGGTGTTCTGTTGTTGGATGTAATAATGAACATAGCAGTCGTCATTTACTCC